TGTCATGCTCAAAATGACTAAATCTAATTCAAATAGAATTCACGCTTGTTTGTTTTACGAACAATGATTAAATCAGGTGGAAAAAACTTAATTCTCCTTAAATGAGTGGATAATTCAAACATTGTCAACAATTGATTCAGTTAATAAAAATTTGATTTATAACCTATAAGATTGTAGGTTCAAATCTTGCCAAAGAAGAGGTTCAAATTCGAGGGATTGATGCAAATAAATATAGAAGACATGAATCATAACCATTTTAAATGCTTGTAGTTAATCACATTAGTTCACCAAACAAAAATCACTTGCTTATTTTTCTCATTTTATGTTTGTCCGGTCCTTATTATAATATAACTTTAATTACCACATTGAAATCAAAGAAAAATAATTAAGTTATTAACTCAGTTTAAAAATAGAATGATTTTTTAATTTTATTTATATTTAAATAAAAATTTAAAATTTAAATTACATTTCAAAAGATATCCTATAATAAAAATTAGACGGAGTGTTATTTACGTGCCAATGTCAATATTACTGGTCCATCTTTTGACTAAAACAGCTACTTGGAAAATAACAACATTGAATCTTTAAATTTTACTTGAGATAAATTTTAATGCATTTACGTGGAAAATACGAAGATTGACTTTTAAATTTTTCTTGAAATTAAATTTGAATTCATCCTTTGAATTGGTCAAATTTCTCAAAAGAAGAAATTTAGAGAGAGAAAGAGACCGAACTTCAAAACTTATATCCACATATACGATAGATTTTTCTATCAATATAAATACAATAATCGACTTAAAAATTAGTTGGAAATTAGAGTTTGTACCTTTTTTTTTTTTACCAGTATTAGATTTTGTACTTTGACAAGGCCATTCACAACTTAAAATAATGTTATAGTTTCTTAAAAAATGTTATAAGAATTAATATCAAATGACTTAACTTCTTCTTTTTGGTTTTTCATATATGGACAATAAGTATATTATAAATTCAATCTCCATTCGAATATTAAAAATAAAAAACAATTCCTTCCTATGTAACTTTTTTTATACGCAAGAATTAAGAATAACTCCCTTACGAAGCTTATAATTTTGATTTCTGAGGCATTTCCCTGTTGATAAATCAAGGTGCTTAAGACTTAATTAATTTTAATAATAATTTAAAATAAATTAATTAAAATGTTCAAACATTGATTCTGAAGAACATAATACTATTTCTTCTTTAATTTGATCCAAATTAGGTAGAATTAGTGTTCCTTGATCTGTGAACATCTTGTTATTAGTAGAAAAGGGGAAAAAAGAAAGGAATTAAGGGAATAAGAAAATAAATTATTGTGTGAAATTTACAACTATTTGTGCATATATCAATCAATTATAAAAATAAACTACAATGAGAGTACGAACTGAATAATCTTCTAGTTGAAAAAAATATACATAACAGAATAGTTTCTTTTATACTACGATTACAACATTATTTCTGGTTTTGATTATTTACAATATATTGTTCAAGCAGATGTGTTTATTCAGAGGATTTAAGTCTTATTACACACACACAAACACACATTTGCCAGGAGATCATATTATAAATTATTGCAAGCATGATGCAGTGGCTAATTACTAATTGGTCATCAATATCAACATAAAACATAAATAAATATATATATAAAATATACCCGAAAAAAACTTTACTAGTCATATGCCATAATTGGCAGAACATAACAGCTAGATACCTCAAATTTCTCCAAAATTCAAAAGAAGCATTCAAATTCACATGAGTTGGGTTGCTCGTCTGCCGCCGGTGCCTGGCCCAAGCCCGTGAACACTTGGGTCTACCTGGGCCTTAGACTGATATAGAAAGGGCTTAACAAAAACAATTAAAAATACATAAAATCAATTCTTATTAACAACGATATATTTTGCCTTCAATCAAAATACATTTATCTGAATAATAATTTTATGATAAAAATATATTTTTAAAAAAAGTAAGAATGATGAATAATTATACATTATTTTACATGATATTAAGTTAAGAATCAATTTGAAATTTTAAACAAAATCAAAACAGTGAAATATTAAAAAAATATCAACAACTTAATTTAGAAATATATCAAGAAAAACAACCCTATAATATCATTCAAGCTAGAGACTGTCTTAGCCTCTTAGGTGGATAAGTAGTTGCTCATGACTTGCTTGTTAGCCTATCTTAATACATCAAATAAGAGGCATGTTGTGTTTGGAAACGAATTCTCTCCTACCACACCTTATTGAATTTTCTCCCATCTATTAAAACTTATGGCAAGATTGGTAACTATTTTAAACCTATAAACCTACAAAATGCAGCAAGACTCGTTTATCTAACTCTATATGATATATTAATTAACATGTTTGGTTCTATTTGAAAGCTGCAAGCCTAGTTGATTTGAAATATGATTAAAAAACAATTAAAATTAGCAATCAAATGTAATAACTATTCATTGAATGTGTTGTTAAAGATTGTTGGAATGTGATGATAAAAGTGAAGTGAAGAGCAGTGTCATTGGGGTTGGACTCAATAAAATGGTCCTTTAGCTCGTGGTAGGGTGTGGTCTCTGCCTTTCAAGTGTTCAGTCTCTTTCCTTTCCAACTTTTCAACCACCTTGTTTATTCATGCCTCTTTGCCAATCACATTCCTCTTTATTTATTTATTTATTTGTTGACTGGTTTATTTATAATATACTATGAAAATAAAATGAAAATTTTCTAGATAGATTATAATAATATTTTAATTGATTAGAATAATAAAAATAATATTTCATATATTATTGTTTTATACTCTTTCGGTTATCTTTATAAGTTATTTCTACCAACCTCATCAATATCAATACAAAAAAGTATAAAAAATAAAAGTGTGCAGAGTTTTAAATATGCCTCTATATAATAAATTTACAAAGTAATGCTATATTATTTTTTTTTAATTTGTTGTAGGGTAATTTTAAAAATATTTTTAAATATTATTTAAAAAGATATACATAATTTATAAATAAAATTAAATAAATTTTTTACAACATAACTTTAAAATGGAATCGGAAGGAGTACATTAACAAGAAATATCTTCTTCTTTTTTTCGGGGACAACCTACATATCTTTCATGGGATAGCCTCTCCCCTCCTCACCGTCACTTTTTCTCCAATGTCAACATGCCATCTACAATTTGTGTGCTTAATATCTAAAGTACCTCATGGCCACATGTGTCATGTCATGTAACGGAGCCCAACTAAGAATACCTTTTTTTTTTTTTTTGGTAAATAAGAATACCTAATTTATTTATTTATGAGTTATGCTCTACCCAACTGATATTTTACATTTCATCAACATGATAGTGTTCACATTAATTATAAATTAATTAATCAATTTTTTTCAAAGAAATTAATTAATTAATATGCATGATAAAATAAATTATTGATATCAATCAATATAAGTTAATTTTTTTAAAAGTTATACTGTACATAATTTATTTTTAAGCTTCCTGGAACCTCACCTAATTTACTAGATAAACTTACTTTCCAATCAATGGAGTAGTTTTACTATAGGAGCATTTTAACCTTTTCACTTTTTAATTTTTTTAATAAGTTTATAAAATAAATTTAATAAATTATACCTCCAAAATTTATCTCCTTTGTCATTTGATTGCGAAGATAAAATTTTGGCATTCTCGAATAGGTTTTTTAATCAACATTTAATTAGTTATAAATTTTTAAACTTGAAATATCATAGTCAATTTGTTTTCCTAAATTATTTTATATTTACTAGCCATATTTTTCAAGTGATTTGTGGAATTGGGATCAAAATTGTTAAATTCATGAGTTTAAGTAAACTCATGATAGGAGTATAAATTTGAATCGCTAACTCGGATTGTAAACTCATAAGAGTTTACCCCCATTAATAAATAACTATTAAAATATAATTATAATTTAATTTAAATATATTTAAAATATAAATCATTGGAATTAAATTCATTTACATTGATAAATTATCATATATAAAAAATATAAAATTTAAAATAGGAAACTTATTTTTGGTATTTTTTGTTTTCATTTTTATTAATATTAGTTTTTACATTTTAAGTTTTTTTATAATATATACTTAACTTCCTTAACTAAAAAAATTAATGAGTTTAATAAGTTTAACTAAACTTGTATATAATTTGGGTTTATAAATTAATTTGTAAATTATAAACATAAAAATAGTAAATTCAGAAGTGAATTTGTGAGTTTAGTCAAATTTATATCTAATCTAAATTTATAAATGAATTAATACGATTTTATAAATTAAAAATATAAAAATATTAAACTTAAAAAATTAATTTAAAAGTTTAACAATTATAACTGAGAGCGTGAAATATTATGGTGAAATTCTTGTTGTTGTTATTTGTAACCGCCTGTGTTTGACTATCAAATATAAATATCACTTCCAACATATTTTTTTCCCCACCAATTAAGATTAGCAAAACTCAAAAACTCGTGCACTGAAAAATGTGGTCAAATCAACAGATATTATTTCTTTATATAAATATTTAATTACAAATGGGTTTTTTATTAGGAAAAATTAATTACATTTTATAATTAAATTAAATTTATTAACAACATAATATATTATAATTTTTAATTTAATTATTAATTAATCTCACAATAATTAATTCTTTTATACAAAATCTTATCATGATTCTCCTTTTTTATTATAGGAGAAATCGTAAGTTGATTGATGAGAAACTACTTTTTCTCATCCTACTTACATAAAAGTGAGGTAGAAAAATTTTTAGTTATATTTATAAAAGGTATTATTAAATTTTTATTATAAATTTTTTTATTTTTATTAAAAATATATATTATTAAAGTATGTATATTTAATAAAAATAAAATTAAAAAATAATTATAATTTAAAAAAAAGTTTATACCAAATGAGTTTAAACAAACATTTTAAGAACAAAAAGGAAAAAAAACGTAAGCAAACATTTGGATCTTTGGGTTTAGTGATTAATTAAGGCAAGGATATAATACAAGTATACCACGTTAATCAAAGCCAGGACAAACAAACGCCACAGAAACTTCACAATATCCCAAAATCTCCATTCTCCCTCTTCACTCCCCCCAAGAACCATAATATGTACTCATCTATCACCGTCTCACGTCCAGAAGATCTTTAGCTAAGGCCAAAAAAAAAAAAAAGCTTTTATTAATCTCACACTAATTACCACTAATCTATCCGGCAATGGCCTCGTTGATGCCGGAAAACTTATCGTGTCTCGACGGAGAAATATCAATTTCAATTAGATTATCTTCCTCAAACTGGAACTCCATAGCTATCTTCTTCCCACCGTCTAAAGCTATCTCAATCAACCCTTCCCTGTCTTCTTCGTCCCACCCAAAGCTAGTGTTCGCCGGTATCGGGGGAAACCCACTGTCCGACGAGCTATCCGACTCCGATTCGGATTCGGATTCCGGATAATACCGTGACAAAGAAGCGTATTTTCCGGTGTCTTCTTTCTCATTCGGATCCTCTGCTTCCTCGCCTTCACACTCCTCGTATATGACTTCCAACGGCGCTTTCACGTCCCATGATTCCACGAAACACTCCGAAGCGAAACCCATCTGGGATTTGAGTTCTGTTTCGGAATGAGTGGTGATCCATTGCTGAACTTTCTCGAGGCAATTCGTATCCTCTGTTTCAATGCCAAGATTCTCATTCTCCTCTTTCTCCTCTGCAACTGCTCTGTTTTCTTGGTTCAAACCAGGTTCGGGTGTGCCGGGGATTCCTGGTTGTTCGTTTTGAGATCTCTGATTTGCTCCGAATCGAAGTATGGTGAGCAGTAGAATTACAGTGAGAATCAGAACAGGGGAAAGAACAAGCTTCCAGAAAAGGTGAGGAAGATAAAGGAGAATGAGCGTGCATAAGGTGACAGTAAATGAAAACAGAGGATGCGAAGAAATTCCAAAGGGAGAGAAAAGTGTCTCCGTGCATATGAAATTGATGAACTTCAATTCCAAGGAAAACTCGCTTTCCTCCATGGAGGACAATTTTTGCTTACCCTGATAACTACGATTACAACACAACCAGCTGTAAGAGAATCACACCCATGAACAGGGAAAGCAGGGTTCTGGATGAGGAAAACAAATAAAGGTAAAGATTTTGATAGGGATTGATAGAAAAAAAAGAGAGAAGAATACAGTGCACGAGGGCTTTAGGACGAGTTCAATATGGGGTTTATAATATAGGCTTTTGGCGTCAGAAGAAGGCATAGAATAAGGTAAAGTTAAGGTGGTCCTGTAATATGCAATAACCAAGACGATCTTGGAAGCGTAGATTTCCAGATTTAATCCCAAATCAAGCACTGATGTACGTTTTTGTTCAGAGAATGGGCTTTTAATTTTGTGTTGATGGAGAAATCCAAGGCATTGACTCCAAAAGACGTTAGGCTTCTTTGCAAAATGGGTAAATGTGAGTCAGTCGATTTGATGAACAGGGACAGTGAGTTCAGGGTTATTTTGCTGCTAAGTTTGCCAGTTTCAATATTTACTGGTTTTGTCATTTCCGCCACGTGTAACAGATGTTGGTGATTGTGCTATTTTGTTTAATTAATTAGAATTAGAAGGTGGGCACCGTACTTTTCTTAGAGTTAAGATGCGACTTACCTAATTATTATTTTTTTATCCGGTAGACGATTTACTTTGTGTACTTTCACCCTCTCTAAATATAAATTATAATTTTCGTCTTCTTGTCTTTAAATACTCTCTCTCTCTCAACCTATGTATAATTTATTTTTAATATATTTTGTTAAAATTAAAAAAATTTAAACTTTATTAAATTTTAAGATAAATTTAATAAATTTTTAACTTTACTCTTAATAAATATTCTTAAATCTCATTATTAATATTTTTACTTAAAGCATTTAATAAGAGTAAAAATATAAAGAGTAGCTTTGAAAGTTGACAAATATTTTATAAATAAAATTAAATTTTTTCTTCTCTATCTACCTTATAAATAGGATTAGAAGAGTACAAATTATAATATAAGTGAAAATATGGAGTTCTTAGTATAACTAATAAGTACTTGCTTCTAAAGATACCCCTAATTAAAATGGTGAATGCATAGTTGAGACTTAAAATATTGAGCTCATTTGTCTTAATTTATAGGCTATTTTCTATTATAACAAGTTGTTGAATTCTTCTTTTGATTTAAAAGTTAATAACTTAAAAAATATTACATCAATTAAAGGTTTAGGATACAAATTACTCATTCAATCAAACTTATATGATAAAATTATCTTTCAACACTCAAAATAATGATTGTTGGTCAAACATTATTATAAGGTGACATTGTGCCATTTTTAAAAAAGAGAATCACACCTAGGACTCTCAAAGGAGAAAAAATTGCACTTAAAGCTCAATACAATATGAAATTTCTCTACAAGTTTGATAACCTTAAATGAAAATATATTTTAATGGGAAAAAACTCGCTTGCCCCCTCCTAAAACCAACTAATATTTGACGATTTGATCTTTTCTTCCTCCTCTCCTCTTCCTCTTCATCTTCCCTTCCCTTCTCTCCCTTCTCTCATCACCTTTCTTCTCTCCCTCCTCTTCCTTAGATCTCATTCTAGAGGCAAGCAATGAGATTAGTGACAAGGTAACAAGAAGCGGGCTAAAACCATAAAAGAGGGACAATATTCATCAATTAGGTGGCAGCATGGTTCATGACTCTTTGATCTATTAGTTGCCTTTATTTTTTTTAACATCCTTGATCTTGATATGTTTCCAAGAGCAGAGAAAGCCATATACTCAACTTAGATTTATAAAGAAGGCCTTGAAAGGGATTTATTTATCTTTCATTTGGATACATATTTTTGGAATTTCTAGGAACTATAATGAGATTTTTAGAAACTACTACAGATGTTGTAAAAATTAGAACTTTGCTATCATTAGGTTATGAATATTTGAAGTTAAAAGTTTTAAATTTTAAATTGTGAATATCTAAACTTAGATTTGTAAATATCCGAACATATAATTGTAAATCTGTGAACTTTGACAACACGTCAACTTCGAACCTATGCTTCTCAAGATATATACCTTTCCTTGTAAATATTTAAATATGTATTTGTAAATATTAAGACTTTTATTTGTAAATTTTTGGACTTTACTTATTTGTGTAGGAGTATAAAATGGTTCACATATGGCATTTTGTACTAACTAGTGAAGCATCTCAATAATGTCAAAGCTTAAAGTGCCCTTGTATTCACAGGAAAAATCAAAATAATAGAATTGAGTATCAAAATGAAATAAGTATTCATCTAGGATTATGTTTGTGTTATCTTAAGTTAGTTTTTTTATAAATGAATGTACGGCATATACTATGGTGTATATTTGAGGAACACTTGCTTTAATATAAATGAAATTATTTACAATGATCACTTGTACAATTTTCCTAAAATTATGAACAATAAAAAGTCCATATATAATATGTAAAGATTCATTTATTAATAATACAATGTCAATCTATTTCATATGATCCATGTAGTTAAACATTTATAATGTATCTGTAACCTGAAGAACATAAAATCCATAGATATAATATGATAAGGTCTATTTATTAATAATACAATGTCTATATATTTTACATGGTCTATATAGTTAAGTTAAACATTAATAAAAGTTTGTCAAGTTTGTGAACAATAGAAATCATGTATATAACATAAAAATGTTCATTTATTAACAATAGAAAGTTTGATTATTAAATATTATATTATTTTATTTTTAAAGTATGTATATTTAATATGAATAAAGTTAAAAATTTATTAAATTTTTAGGTAGAGTTAATAAATTTTAATACTTTCATTGATTTTAATGAATGCTACAAATGACTTATAAATATAACTAGGGGGTAAATATTACTACATGATTAAATCAGATCAAGTGAACGATTAAATGAACAGAAAATTATATATATATATATATATATTAAATATGGAAATATATTAAGAGCATCCATTTTCGCGATTAGATTAGAGTGTCAAATTTGTTAAAGTGATGGATGTCCCACATTATGTTTGTCAGATTTAATTTTCCAGCAAAGCCTTTATCGTACCCATCATTTCAAAGTCTAAGTGGGTTCAGTTACTTCCTTTCAAGCAGGCACAAGGACATTGTCGAATTCATAAAGCCTTGTTAGGTTCTCAATATTATTAATTCATTCATTTCAATTGAAATTATCAAAGAACTTCGCAAAGAGTACAATAGGTTTAATTTGGTACGTAAGCAGTAGGCCTTTTGAGGTGGCCACTAATTAATCAATTACATTGTGAGGTGTGAGAAAGAAGCTTTCAGTAATAGTACTGGTTCCTTTTCAATTCCAAGTCTCCATTATTAATAGGGTCTGGTCCACAACAAACTAAATCCTTCATTACAGTAGCAAACCATGCATGCATGGGCTGATTAGCAATAATTTGGTAGTGATGAATTAATGATCCTGCTTTAACACATTTTAGAGTAGTTAACTGTTAAAAGTTAGCTATACATCACAATCAACTCGAGTCTTTTTTCATCCGCCATGTTCAATCCAATGAAAAAAAATATCTACAAAGTTATAATTAATAGAATGATGATTGCTATTTTTTTTTATTATGAATTTTTGAAGTCTAGCTAGCTGTATATATATTGTTGGGCAAATTAACCTCAAGTTTCTTTTTTCTTTTTCTTTTTTCTTTTTTTGTGTGTGGCTAGAATTAACCTAAGTAGAGGCTAGAACCATATAATCCTAGAAAAATTGGACTTGGTTGATAATTAATTTTATAATCCTCATATGTAAAATAATTTAAACAGAACTGGGGAAAGTTTTCGCCCCTCCCAATCACTATATATAAAATAATTAACATCATAAATATTTTATCCTCATTATTCCCAGGAGAGTATACAGCAGCAATAACTCTTCATGGATTGTAAGATGTTATTGTATCTTGTTAACAACAAACCCTTCAAATATATACTCCTTCGGTCTCTTTTTTAAATCATTTCTATCAACCTTATTAATATCAATACAAAAAAAAACAAGAAATAAAAGTATACAAAATTTTATATATGCCTTTATATAACAAATTGAAAAAGTGATACTATGTTACTTTTTCTCTCTCATAAAAAATAATTTAAAAATATATTTCAAATATTATTTAAAAAGTCGCATCATAATTTATAAATAAGATCAAATAGACATTTTAAAATATAACTTATAAATGAACTAGATGGAGTATCATTTATGGAAAGATCTTATTTAATAATTTCCATGAGTATATGATATATCTTCAATTTTGTATACACAATATCTTATATCTGGCACTCTTAAGTTATATTTAAGTATTATTGAGCTTAAATAAAATAACTCCTTTAAAGATTTTTTTTTTTTGTATTTACATAAACTCAAACTCAAAATTTTATGCTTAAAAAGATCCGATATATCTTATTCCATTGGGACCAATGACTATTTGTTATGACATTCAATGCAAAACCAAAGAGAAGAAAAAGTCCACATGGTGGTTCCATTTCTTGAAAGGATGAGATGATGATATCTGAAAATTTCCCTCTCACTCTTCAATCGTAAAGCCGATCGAACGCAAGTAGTTGTAGGCACAAGCATATGTTCCACATCAGCTTCTTAACTTGGAAGAAAATAGGGCATGATTGGACGTTAAATTCAAGCCAGAGACTTCCCACCAATGGGTTCTAATAATTATAATAATTGGACCATGATCTGGAGAACTGAATTATTAGGGAAAAAAAAAGGTAACAAAAATGAGAATGTACGCACGTAATACAGAGTTCAATGTCATGGCTTTAATTAATCATCTTTAATTTGTTTCTTTATTTGTCTGCATAATAGGGGAAAGAGCAGGGAATGGATTAAGAAGAGATGTGGGTGGCAGACAAATAACCTAATTATGGATAGCTTGGTTCCATCAAATATGAATGAATCGAAAGCTTTGGAACTTCACTTTTTTTGAAGCTTTTCACATGCTTTGGGCCCTTTTGCGTGCCAGGTTCAGTTCATCACATCCTTCTCTTATTCCTTTTAACACCAATTGAGCTAGCTTTTCCCCATATATATATATACACACACACACACATATGTATGCATGAACATTAAGTATCTATTTACATGTATAGGTCGGTGTCTTGCGTAGATTTTCATATTCATCATTCTAAAGTTCTCAGGAAGCTGATCTGATGATG